AGTGAAGAGATTGTTTGCTTCATTTCTAGGCAGGCCATCAGAAAGTTTACATTATTCTGAATTATGTTAGCATATTAGAAAAATAATTTTAAACACAAAAATTATTAAGTATAATGATATTCTGTGTTAATATAAAACCATGTTAAAAAATTGAATCCTTTTTCAGAAAGGAATATTAATTAGTCAGTTTTTATTGGATGGAAGTTCTTGGTGGAAAATTGAAGGCACCAGGTTTCTATTGTTGAAGACTGAGCTGCCAATTGTTGATAGTTTTTCTGATTTTGACTTAGGTACCAAAAAGAAACAAGAATATAAGACAGAAACTTTGTTATGAGCTTATCAGGACATAGGATGAAAGGTTGATCATGCACTGACTAATGATTTGACCTTGTGCATAGCCTGTGACAGCAGTAATTTGGGACCAAGCTGGTATGCTATGTGGCTGTTCTGGTCAAGCCCTATTCCCTCACTAGTCCTGGCCTGAAACTCATCTGGAGCTGTTGTCTTATGTTCCTGCAATATGAGTAGTTGATCTTATGATTAGATAGGAAGTGAGAAAAAATGACGAGAGATAATGTATAGAGGAATGCACAATGGAAGATACAGAATACACTGTGATCAGGCTGAAACACTATCTTGTGTAATTTTGATAACCATATGTCTTCATCTGTGTGCTTCTTGTTTAGATGCTAGTTTTGTCTTTCTGGTGTTAGAGGGATGTTTGAAATGATCCTCTCAGGGTAACATAGAGGCTGTCAGATTTTGACTGGGCAATCCCTTAGATTTCTCTCTATCCTCTCCATCCTAGAGATTTTCCTTTCATTAAAAAAAAAAGAAAAAGAGAAAAGTGCTTCATAATAAGACAGCAGAATAGTTTAGTATCTGGTGAGGGGTCATTTCTGTTTTATACCAACCATTGTGTTAGCAAGTCTTCCAGTTTGGGCAAACTCTGTCTTTCTGCCTTCTTTTCATACTTCCCTTACCTACACTCGTAGGTACAGAGCATAGCAATATCTCAATTCCACTTTCCAAATGCTGCACTTACTATTAGAGGAAGTCTGTTTTAACTAGTAATTATACTTAGACTCAAGAGAAAGAGAAGCAATGTAGAAATTATTTCTGTCTTCTGGAAACAACAAAGTTGTGTAATGGTAATTCTGAAGTCTCTCTGTCTGGAAAAGGAAACAGTGAAGCAATAATTTATCATGAGTTCAGAATGGCACTAGCATCTAAACAAGCAGCTATACTGCCTCAAATCTGGCAACTTCAGGAGAAGTTATACCAGGCCTTTATAAAGTTGCGAAATAATTTTCAGATCTGTATTTTTCTGTACCTATAAAACATAATTTTCTTTGTGTTTTCTGTCCAGTTCCTTATTCCTTGTATCCTGTCCATGGATTAGAGCTCAATTCCCTTAGTGTTTATCAGCTTCTCTGGTTATTTCACTGTCACAGAATTCATGAGTGTGTACACACTTTTCTTCTTAAAGGAATAGCTTTATAATCTTTATTTCATTACTTTCTAGTGAACTCATTGAGATGTGATTCTGTTGAAATGTTATGAATTTTTAAAGGCCCATTTAGTCCCTGTCACTTGGGAACAGAAAGGAAATAGTTACAGTTGAAAAGTGAAAAGATAGGGTGCTTTTCTTTCCTTTATAAAACAGATTTACATGTATTTTGAAGAATTACACAATTTCTTGTTCAGTCAACAGTTACATATATTTCATTTGCCTAATAAATGATCATATGCACACACTCAGCTATTCTGTTCAGTGATCCAGTGTTGATGTTTGAAAAAAGAGCAGCCTCAAGAGGAAGCTGAAATGATCTTTTAGCTTCACCAAGACAGGAAAGTAAATAATGAGAGTATATTTATGCCAGGGCAAAATCAGTTTGCTAGTTGAGACTAAAATATTCATAGTAAATTCAGACAAAATACAGTTGGAACCTTTGTACTTTTTTTGTTCTCATTACACTGTACTCCTGTACAGAAATGTGCAATTATATTATAAATAATGGAGAATTACACTTTTTAAAACTGAGGTGTAAGTAAGGTCGAGTTGTGGAAGAATTCTGTACAAGTTTGTCTTGGTACCTGTGTGAGTCTCTGCTGAAGGCAGTGGGAGGCTGGGAAAGCACGGTGTATAAAAATCTCCTTGATGAATCTATGGCATGGGAACTAAAACTTGGAGTATTGCTCTAGATTTGAGCAAACATATTTGAATAACATGATCATCTTGTATCAAAGCAAATCTTACTGAGCACCTTATGTGCTGCCTTCAGTTCAGATCAAAAGCTGAAAATCCAAAACATTTTGTGGTGTTTCCCAACAGAGCAAAAAGAGAAAGTTCAGAAAATAACCCAAGTACTTCTAGCATAAGGTGCCTCTGTTGCACTTTGCACTTTAGAGGGGAAGGGTAGCATGAACTTAATCTCTCTTCAGAATCTCTTTAAGTTCCCATTTCATGATTTACGACCTACTCTATGTGATAATTGAATAGGTAACTGCTGTAGCTTCTGGGAAGGGAAACACAGAATCTGCAAGGATTACTCTATGAGCAGGGCCACGAAGAAAAGATTTTCTCTTTTCCCCAGTTCCCCATCCATCTACATGGCCAGTCAGATTGTGCACTAGAATCCACAATATGGCCTATAGTATAGCATAGCTTATGAAGGCAGAAACTGGGATGTACACTGAAGAGAAGCAGCAAGATTCCACAGTTTCTTACTCTCTCCCGGTTCTTTGTGTTACCTTTACCATTTGCTACTCATTTTAAGTAAATGAGAGAGGCTCTGTTGCTGATTGCTTTTTACTTTTGAAGAACTTATAAATATGCATGACTAGGGTGAGGTTTCTTCACAGTGTTGGGAAGCTATTTTTAAAAAAATCCATTGACAGTCCTAGCATGGCAGTAGTGAATGGTTAGGTGCATTTGAAAGCATGTAATGTAACTGATTTGCTATTACAAAGATGTAGAAAACTTCTCAGAAACCATATATCATAATAAAAGTTTCTTCAAAGCCACATTCCCAGCTTCCAAAAGGTCTACATATGGAATGACTCTTGTCCATAACAAATATTGTCATTTGCACAGCACATTTTCTTAAATTTCAAATAGAAGAAGTAGCAAAAGAATCAATTTCTTGCTATGTACTTTCAAAAGAAATGAGCTGCTGAGTTGGCCAAGCAGGTGATCAGATTGTAATTTAGAAGTTCTGAAGACTTCAGACATGAGGTAAAATTACAGTATCTCTGGTCGTTTAGATTTTGTTATAGAAGCTAAGAAAAAAAATAAAAGCATGCATTAGTACAAAGTCAAAACACATCAGATACAAAAGACTTTGTTATTCTCTGGCATTGCAATTGGCTTAACTTTCTGTTTAAGTGGGTGAAATCAATGCTTAGTGAGGGATTGTGAGAGAACTCTCAAATGATTAGTGATACATACTCTGCGATGTAATTGTGTGTGTGTGTCTGTGTGTGAGTGCATATGCATCAACCAGCATTGGATGGCTTAGATCTTATGATCTCCATGGTAATTGTGTACTTCCTCCTTTCTCTATATGTGCAAAAAACACAAGGGTATGGTGCTCTGGGGCTAAGTTTCATTATGTCTATATTGTTTTGGCTGCATTTATTGTAATTAACTTTGTAGTACAAGACAAGCAGTTTGGAAAGACTCAATGTCTTGGCAATGATGAAAGACCAGGAAAGTTATCTTTAAGTTGCAGAAGTCACAGCTACAACTATTCCAACATAACAAGCCATGTATGTAATGTGATAAAATCAAACAGAAGGCAAAAGGAGCAAAACCCTGATTGAGAAGCTCTCATTAATTAAGTGGAAACAAATCACTGAACAACTGCTGAACTATACTGAGTGAAGACAGAGTATATTCTTCAACCTCTAAAATTGTTTTTCAAACACCTACTTATGCTCTGTAGAGATACTCCTTTGTTTCCAAACAAATTCTTCAGAATCCATCCTAGATATAATATTCCTGCCTTATACCATTAGTTTTGCATTTTAACTCACACACAAAACCCAGATCCTACTCAAACAAGTTGTGAACTGGATCCATCAGTGTACCTGCCATAGCTGCACTCCTGCTGCTACTGTCAGCTGGGAAGGGACTTCCTGCTGCATAGGCCTCCCAGAACCCAGAGGTGGCCCCAGCCTAGCACAATGGGACCACCTCACTTCCCTTTGCCCCCATCCTTCACTGTGATTTGTTTTACTTGTACTGAATTCAAATGTACTGAGCTTTTGTTTTCAGTTCACATTAAAGACTGGTCCTGAAAGTTATTGAATAGGCCTGAGCAATTAAAACATTTATGTTCGAATGAAGCTGGGGTTTATCCACTTGGAATTGTTCAATTCTTTTTTTTTTCCTCAAGAAGTTTAGTATCTTTGACAATATCTGGGTGTATTGTTTGTAATTCTTTCAATTTTAGTTCACATATTTTCATTTTCAATCCACACATACAGTTTTTTTAGATACAAAATGGAGAAGAGAAACAAGGACAAAGTGAGGGTGGAGGGGCAGCAGGGAAGAAAATTGCTGAGAAGGGAAAGAAAAACTGACATACACAACTCAAACAGAAAAAATTCTGTTTTCACAAAGGAACTTGCACTTCTCCAAATAGTTGGCAGGAGCACTAATCTGGCACATTATGCAAGTTCTAGTACAATCTATGCTTCTTATTGCAGGACACTCAAATTTTTAGGTATATACTAATTCCTACCACTCTCTAAAGGCAGTATCTGAATGAAAATTTTAAAAGATTGTATAACCACAGCAAGGGTATTACAAAATGCTCAGCTTCTCTTAACCCTACAGGAAGGTGTGCTATAATATCTCCTCAGCCAATCAGCAGTACTACAAGCTTCATACCAGGAAACTGTTTAAAGTACATTATGTGTAGATATTTCAACACTGTTCTTTCTTTTTCTCTTCCTTATTCTTATAGAATTGCAAGTCACATGTAAGTGAACTCATGGCAAAATTTGAAGCAGGTAACATCCAGAAAGAAGATGATTCTAATGGCAGTCAACCCATCAAAATCCCAACAAGAGAAATCGGAATAGGAATAAAGGAAAGGAAAGCCGCATTTGAGAAATTTGCAAGCCAAGGAAATGTGGCATCTTCTCCAGGACCCAGTACCTCTCAAAAACCTGTTCATCCTGATCCTCCTCTGGAGGTCAAGCCTTCAACTGATGATCAAACAGAGAAGGTTCCAAAGCCATCACAAACGAAAGGAGTGGCACAAATGTTTGGTGTTCAGCTTCAGGCAACTAACAGAGGAAAGAATAGAAAAACTATAAACAGTAAAATACCCAGCAAAATCAGTGACCCAGCAAAAAAAGATCCAAAACCATCATCAAGCAAATGCCTTGGCTCTTCTCCTCCTCAAAAAGAAAGAAAACTGGATTCAAATTTTGAACCACAGGAGACTAAGGCAAAACAAGCATTTTCTAAAGTACCACAAGTAAATAAGCCCAAGCTTCCTCTCTCTAAACCACCTCTTGCTCAGAAATCTTCTCTTACCAATGAGATGTCTCACAACAAAGACACTTCTAATAAAAGTGACTTTCTGCAAAGACCGGCAAGCAGTAGAACAAATACATGCAAGTTCAAAGAAGCAAAGGAAATGGGTGAAAATAGTAACCGTGCTGCAGAAACTGAAGGCAATCGTTTTCGTGACATACGTGTTGTACCTACCAGCCCTCAGTGCAGCTCATCTCAAGGCATCCCCAAAAACATGGAGGAAAAGACTGCAGAGAAAGGAATCAGTGCTGTCAGGAATATCTTTTTCAAGAAAATCACCCAGGAAGAATCAGATTCTTCATCTCTTAAACTTTCTAAGATGAAAACACCACTTATTGCAGGAAAGCCATCAGGTGAACCACAAAAGAAAGAGGATGGGGATGGGAATTCAAGAGACCCCGTGAAGAAAGGCCTGCCCCCAGCGTTCAAGCTCGGCCAGCCCCCAGAGAAGCCCAACAGACCCCTCACTGTGGACCTGGAAAGGCACCAGAACAGCAAACAAAAAAACAGTGAGTCTACTCTGTTCTCGCTTTCTTGGGTATTGTCTTTTTGGTACACTTAGTACAGGGTTAATTTCAGATGGAATCCCCTCTTCTGTTCAGAAAAAACATGACACTGTGCATCAAACAACCCCTTAAATCTTTAACTTATGCTTGTGTCTCTTCTGTACAGGACAGAAATTAAAATTACATTTCCCCCCCTCAGCAATATAGTGCAGGATAAATGCTTTCTGTATTGGGTTTATTTGTTTTTCAAAACTACTTAGATGAAGCTATAACTTGTGTCAGAGAGTGACTTTCTCAACAGACATTTAAGTTCTGACTTCCTATAAATGAGATGCCGGTGTTATGTGTCCTGTTCTTTACAGTAATTTCCTGGGTACAGCTTGAGGACCACCAAAATGATATACTATAACCTATAGTAACCACACTTTTTTTCCCTTTATGCCTTTCACAATGACTCATCACAGCATGACCCTAGATGTAGTTTAAAGTTTGTTTAGAAAGCTGAGAACTATGCAAATTACAGATTTAATTGCTCTCACATGAAGCTCTGATGGTTTTGTACCCAGGTCTGAATTCATACTCCAAAAGCATCTCCTAGACTTAGCCTTTTCTGTAAGGCTTGCATGACTTCGATAGTGTGGCAGTTAGTTAGTTAGTTAGTTAGTTAGTTAGTTAGTTAGTTAGTTAGTTAGTTAGTTAGTTAGTAGTACCTGGGGCTCTGTTTCCTTATTTTTTTCAAGAACCAAGTCTCTGATCTGTTTGATAGTTTTAATCCAGCCATGAAAATTAAGTCTTGCCACTAGGTTTCTGTAAAATTTGAGATGGTCTTGCATGTGAGAAGAACTTGTGTAAACAAATTTGAAATATCTGGGAGGACACAAATCTGTATGGGAAAAAAAAAGAAATTGCTGTGGCTATACTCCTGCAAAGTGTTCTGCTTCAACAAGTGCCTTTCACTGCACAAGAGAAGCTGGAACAACATTCTGAGCTGTTTCTGAGGCACTCAAAATATGGCCTTGAAAACCTCATGTGAAAATGTAAATTTCTAATGTTAGATCCATATACCCACTGTCACCTCCTTCACAGAAAGACTGATTTGTGGAGATTCTGAATGTCTTTAATTATCCCTTAAAGCACTTCTGTATTTCAAACTTTTGGGTTAAGGTTTTTTCCTCTGCAGTTTTTAGGCAGTATTTGACAATGCCAATTCACAAATTTCTAAGTTTTATAGTAGCTGAAGCAGGTTCCTTGTTTTTTTATTATATCACTAGGTGCTATGAATGCTCAACTATGAGGGTCACATTTTAAAATAAAAGTTTTAAATTGTATGGGTCCAGGGGAAAGCTATTCTTGCTCTTGGTGCATGAGAAACAAGGACAGAAAGAAAAGTTATTGTGTTACACTTTTATGGGGGCTCCACACTGTACATGTGCATCAGGTACATTCATATGATTTAGTTGATGCATAATTTGCCCTTGTACCTTCTGTGTCTAGAATACAGTATGGCTTGTGCTTCAGCAGTTCTGAATGCACATAACACTGGTCTATCTGAGATAGAAGGGATTCCAAGGAGTTACGATGGGATGAAAAAGCTCTGAGCTGACTTTCTCTAAATACAAAAGGCCTCACTAAAAACACAGAGTCTGCATGCAATTATATATTGTGCTAGTATTAATTCCACTCAAAAATTAGAAGCGTATCAGTAACATAAAATGTACTTTCTTGTCAGCTGCTATATTTGGGTTTTCCTTTGTTACTCTACAGTTAAAGAAATGTTCTCACAAAACTAAGATAGAAAGAAGAAAGAAATATTTATCCTGTGCATTTTAAATTAGCACTGTGAACAGGGCTGTAAGAATAATACCAGAACTTTTGGAAGAAGGAGGATCTCTAGTTGTTAACTAACCAGGAGTTAGTGTAGCCAGTGTAGCCACCAGCCTGGATGAGTCAAACTGGGAACATGAGCTAAGGATGAAGCTGCCCAGCACAGTGGCACAAGTTGTGTTCCACCCATGTTGCAAAATACACACCCAACCAAGTAGAACTGAAGGATCAGACACGGTCTTCTCTATCTCACAGTCATGGAGAAGGGCAAGATTGAAAGATTTAGAAACCACATGAGTGCAAAGATATTCGTAGTGGCCCTGAATGTCAGCTGTCCCCCATAAAGCTGGCATCTAGACCTTGATGTTCTGGTTGGCTCTAATTAATGCAGCTCATTTCTATGTGGCCAGAAGTCTCCACAGAAAGGTTCTGGGGGAGAGCCCAGGTGTTCAAGAGTGAATCCTGAACAAACTCCTTTTCAGCTCAACAGTTATTCATCATCACTGGGTTTCTTGGAACATTAAACTCAAGTTAAAAAAATCTACCTGCCTTGGAAGGGCAGTTAAACTGAACTGTATTCTTTTTGTAACTGTCATTTCAAGAATCAAAGTAATGTCAGGAAGACACCTCCCCCACAGCACAAATTCTTCCTGCTCATTACTGTGTCCTGGCAAACAGCAGCTTGCCATAGTTTCTTAATTTCCTGCTGTGATTCAGGTGCTGAATAAAAAGAAGACTAAGCAAATGGAACTAGTTTTCCCATCCAGCAAAGCTTTCTGAGATCTAACCTTTGGAACTTTTGACCTGTGCTAGCGCAAAAGTTAGACTTTTTGTTGTCCTTTGAGAAGAGAAAACCTCCACATATGGCAGTTGTTACACTGCTGTTAGGGGCATGTGCCTAGAGTGCAGAAAACTTGGTGTTGCCTGATTTAAAACAGGAGTTTGAATTCTGCTTTCTCAGAAGTGTCATTTCACCACTTTTTCTTTGGTTGTTTGTGACCTTTCCCATGAAAGCTGTTTTACTGGATTTTGTAAACAACTGGGCATAAAATAACTCTACGTGTTAAAGGATAAAGGACTTACCTTTGACATAGCAGTCTGTTATGTGTGGGAGATGGATTTAAACTGTACACTGTGCCTGCATGAATATTAAGGGATACTAGTTTGGCATTGGCCTTGCTGTGGATTAGACATTTTCACCTAGTATTGGAAAATTTTTGTCATAAAATTTCTGTAGATACAAATGTCTTGCTCAGAAAAACTTGACTATTGATGCATTACTATTTTCCAGTGAAGGCAGGCTTTATGAAATTCCTGTCTGCGCCTGTGAATACATGGCAGTCTGGTAAATTTCTGGGTTATGTCCCATTAAAGCAATTTTCCCTGAGAGAAGATCGTATTTGCATCAGCTCAGAATGAATGAAATGCATGTGCTTTCTAGGTTCAGAAAAGAATACTAGCAATAATGTTTTATAATAATCATCTGAAGCGTTAGAAAAAAGAAGAAACGCGAAGTTGTTTTCCTGGCAGTTTTCCTTGTTAGGCCACAACCATACTGTGTCTTCCAGAGAAGAACTACACCTGGGCTCACCTCAGTGGGATCATATGTGTACAGGCAGCCACCCACATAGAGTCAGTTGGAGGCTGACAATCTCTTGTGCTCTACACACCTCTGAGTAACTTGTGAATGATCAACACTAGGGTTTCAGCTAGGGAGAATATTTTGAGCTATACTGTGAGAAATTAAAGGAAACAAAGAAATCTAGGAGAAAAAAAATTCTAAGAAAATTCTCACAGTTTATGATTAGGGGCTTGGTTCTGTATGCAGTCATTATTGAGGTTCAGTTCTGCAATGGATTCTGTAACCACAGCTATTTGTGTTGGGTAAGGCAGAAAGAGAAGGGAAGAATTAAAGTTTGAGGTCAATTGTCAAAGTTACCATAATATTCTGTTGGCAAAGTAATTAACAATCAAGCCCCACACCTGAGGACAGTAAATATGTCAACTGTCTTTGCCAAGCCACTCAGAATAAGTCAGTTTTTGTTCTTACTTGGTGGAAAGATGAAAGAGAAGCTACTAAAGTTATAAAGAACTGGGGATTTTTTTAATCACATGATGTCACAGCTGTTTACTGCAGAATCTGGACTTAAAAGGTCAATGTAGGTTTCTTTTTATACCTTAATACTACACTAGATGAAGCTAGGCAACAGCTCAATATTAAGGTGTAAGGGGATAAAAAATAACTGGAACTTGAGCAAATCATCTGTTTCTAAGACAGATGAAACTAAAAGTAGATGTCATCCAGTTACATACTTCAGGTTGGGTTGGTGGTCGCTGTGTGCAATGATGTGATGCCAGTGTTTGCACAGATGTACTGTAACAGACCATAAAACCCTGTATAGCTCAAGAAAGTGTCAAAATTATTATTTCAGAATAGCATGATAAATAACTATATGCAGCATAATGTCTGGACTTTGCTATGCATAGCTAAAACATTTAATTTTAAGCTCTATCAAAAATGTACTGAAATGAGTCTATTTGTAGGAATTTGAAGACCTTTGAGACTTTTTACTATTCTTTTGTTAAATTTCATTATGTTGATGTCTATAAATATTGGTCCCCCATATATTTACATTAAAACTACAGTAGTGAAATTGAAACTGTGATCAAATATATTTGCCAAGAACTTAACTTTTCTGGGTCTGCTTGAAAACAACTACAAAACCTGGAGAAGTATTTGTATGTAGTTTTTAGTGGAAATGAATATAAAAGCTATTCAGCATTCCTCTAAAGACATTCCTTTGTCCAAATGATTCCTGTTTCATCAGCATTACACTGAAATATTTCACACCTCTGAGAAACAAGAAGATCAATTTTTGAAGCTGCTAGAACTGATGAACAATGCTCAACTGAAATATAGGCAAAGTTGTGCATTTACCATGAAAATCAGACTGCAACATATGAAACCCCACACCATGATTTGGTACAAGTGCAATGACATCACCTGGGTGGATCTCACTCCAAAGGGCTTGTGCTGCTCATGGGATTGGTATATGGTCAGCTTCATTCCTTTCTAATTTCAATTGTTTCTTTGTCCATCTTTCAATAGGTCAACCTGTAAGTTCCAAAAGAACAAATGAATTAAATTTCTCTGAGTCTTTTTACCCATATCTTCATCCTCCAGCTATAATTACATGCAAAATAATTACAGAATATGCATGTAAGACTAAAT